ACATCCAAGGTGCGTACCCTGGGCCTCTCTCTGCAGGTGTCCATGATCTAGAGAATACAAGCCCTGGGCCCAACACCACAGTAAAGAAGAACATGGGGTCAACATTCTGACAGCACCCTGGGGAGCCTGCCCCATGGAAGCTGTCGGCCAACACCAACAAGCCAACGGCCGCTCACACCTGAGATGCACTGAAACCTCATTCTTGCCCAGGACATCTGCCAATGTCCACTGAGGGCTGAGACCCCGAAAGAGACAGGGGCCCACGCTGCCTCTCCACACAAGACCCCTTCTGTCAGAGGGAGAAGTCGATGCCTACAGGGCGTTCTCCCGGCCTCTGGTGCTGCAGGCCAGGAGCAGCCCTCCTCGGGTGCTGAGATGGCTTCAGCCAGGGCTCCGGCTCTGCTATCTCCAGGCTCCAGGACAGGGCCGGCACACAACGGCAGCACGGAAGCGATTCCAGCACGACTATTTTCCATATGCTTATTAAGCACTAAGACACAACAGGGCGTGAATTACGATGCAATAACTCATGCCTAGAAGCAATTTTAGACACAAAAGTCGAGGGATCCATCATTATCATATATTCAGTTCTATTTTTCTTTTTCACACTATAAAAAATCATGTCTAAATCTCCTAAAACCATCATAGTTACATCAAAAAGTGGATTGGGCTATCAACTTGGACAGTTTAAGATAAACCAGCCACTGAGCAGGAAAAACTCTTAAGAGTTCTTCACTCAGGTTTGGGTTCTGCTGCTGGGAGATGATAATAAATGCCTGTTTCTTATCCCTGCTTTAGGAGGAAAAACAGCAAAATGGAAGCCCCCAGCAAGTGGCTTGGTGGCCAGGTAGACCATGGGGACACACTGCCCACCCTAGCCATAAACAGCCTCCTGGAGCACAGGCCTGCACGGGCTTCCCTGGTGCCCAGTGCCCACCTTTCCTTGTGCACCCAGGAGCTGCGAGCGAGCCCCAGCAGGAGGCTGAGGTCGGGGATCCTACTGCGTCCCTCTGCAGAGATCCACCGGCCCCCCACCACCCCTAATGAGGAAGGCGGCATCCCAGAGAAGAGACCTAAGGGGCATCTCGGGTTCTGTGGCCACCCATCCCTGGAAGCTAACGATGGCTCCAGGGCCAGCCGGAGGGAGGTGCCAGCAGCAGCCAGCCGTGGCTCATCACAATAGACGTCCTACTGCGGGGCACTGGCTTGGGGCCCAGCTGGGGATTCATTAGTGGCAGAGGAACCAGCGATGCCAGAGAAATGTGAGCTCAAAGTCCCAACTGCCCCCAGAGAACAGTGCCTCCTCTTCCTGTTTTGCTCAGCCCAAGGCCAGGGCTGAGGGGACGACCCTCAGCTGGGGAGAGCTCGGCTGCCAGGGCTGCTTTGGTGTGCGGCCCCTAGAGATCCCAGGCTGTGATCCTCTGATGCCTCCTCTCCCTCTGACACAGAACGCCCAGCCACCCAGCATCTACCCCAATGTCCACCCAGTGCCCACACCGGGGGGATACTGAGGTCATCGGCAGTGTGATGGATATCGGGGTGGCACTGGAGAGGTTCTGATACTGCAGGAAGTAGGAAGCCCAGAGGCAACAGCAAGGCCTCTGTAACCAGAGGGGCTGCTGCTATGCTCAAGCAGGGGACAGATCAGTGGGGCTTTCCACAGGACACTGTAACGGCGGACGCAAGGCTTTATATATCATCTGTCAAGACCTGGAGGAGGCAAGCACTGAGAATGAACCCTGGTTGAGTCAGCTTTTCGCTGCTGTGACTAAAGGATCTGACCAGAACAGTTCTAGGGGAAAAGTTTATTTGAGGGCTCGCGGTTTCAGAGGTCTGCTGGCAGCCCACAGCAGCAGCTCCATCCCTCGGGGCTCCAGGTGAGCTCCAGGTGAGGCTGAGCAGTGTGGCGGAGGGAAGCAGCTCACAAGGTGCTCAGGAAGCAGATGTCTCCACTTGTCAGCTACAGGTCTAAACCCCAAGCCACGCCCAGTGCCCTCCTCAGCCACGCCCACCACTCCAGCCAGCACTGTTAATCCATGGGGGGCGCAGGGGGCTCGCTCACTGACTGGGTAAAGGCTCTTACAGCCCAATTACTTCTCCAATGAAGCCTCTTGCATAGTCTCACACGAGGTTTTGGGGACACCTCACCTCCAAACCATAAAAACCCTAATGGGAACCCAGGCTTGGGTTGACAGCCACCATTAGTCCTGGTCACCAGCTTGGACGAGGGAGCATTCTGTGCAGGGTGCTGACCCGAGGGAGCCTGGAGAAGAATGGGAACTCGGTTCTTTCTGCACAGTGTTTCTATAAACCTAAAGCTGCTCTCAGTTCACAGACAATGCAAGACAGGAGAAAACATGGCAGCCTCTCCGCTGAATCCAGCCCTGTCAAGGCTCAGCCTGACCCCTGGCCCCGACTGCCCACCCCTCCCAGACACCAAATCCTGCCCTCAGAGACCCACACAGGGCCGGGATGCAAAGCCCTGGTGCCTGGATCTCAAAGTCACTGGGCACTTCTGCAGCTCACCGCTCTCCCAGGAGCTCTGTCTCCTGCCCATAGGAGAAAGCAGTGAACTTTCAGCATCTTGGTGGCCTGGATGGGAAAGGAAGCCAGTCCTTGTCCTGCTGCTGGGCCTCCCTCAGGGCCACACTCCAGCCCGGTTCCTCCCCCTCCTTTCCCACTGGCAGGCCAGGAAGGCAGACACGTGGCTTTCTAACCCAGTTCCTCTGCTTTCCAAGCCACACTTCCCAGCACCCAGGAAATTTCTGTCCATGGGGTCAGATCTGTAAACGCTCTGAGGACCATGAGCACTTACGAAAGTCAGGCCCCTCTGACCACCTACACTGCTGCTCGGAGGGGCCTGGCTTTCTTCAGTGCTCATGGAGGCTTTAAACTGGCCACGAGGCCCCGGCTATGCAGGGAGGGCCCTCGGGGAGAGGCAGTGCTGAGGCGTCCCAGGGAATATGGCCTTCGCAGTGAGGCCAGGAGTGCTGTGAACAATCTCAGCTTCCCTGGCTGGCTGGCAGCAGAGTCAGCCACTGAC